CCCATTTGTTTCCATCATTGGTAGATTTATGCACGTCTCTAGTTTCAATCTTCATTGTTCTTTTGTTCTTCACTTCTTCATCTTGAAACCCAACTGTGAAACCCAACCTTGTCCGGAATAAAGGTATCGTACCGGACACAAATCCCGCATCCACACCCGTGTCGGATCGTGTCGACATGGGTACTCCCACAAAAGAGGCGAGTCCGAGTAACATAGAACAGGGAAAATGAGAGAGATGAACTATATTATCTAGGCGATCCATCTCTAGTTTCGCCAGTTCCTCTATCTCCATCGCCTGCACTTATTTTGTCATTATCTGTTCCTAGTTTGCATGTTAGTATTTTACCTAGTACTTTTCGTTATAATTTTTTATCACAAACTATTCAATTTTGGCATGACCGTTTTGGACATACAAATTTTAAATTATGTATGTTATTTTCTTCTTTGAGCAATACTTATGCTGGTGGAAAACTTGACTGTGTTATATGTTCCCTATCGAAACATGTTCGGACCAGTTATATTCCTCGCATGCACCAGTCCCCTAAGCCATTTGACCTAATGCACTCTAATATTTGAGGACTTTCTTAAGTTACTGCTCTGTTAAGTACTTGATACTATGTGACATTTATAGATGACCATACCTGTTGGGTCTACCTTTTATATAGAAAGTCTAATGTACTCCTTGTCATCACTCAGTTTCTCTATATGATTAAGACATAATTCGATGTCATTGTTCTTGCCCTTCGTTCGAATAATGCCAAAGAATATGTGTCTGATGCCTTAGTGTCTCACCATTCCTCTCAGGGTATCTTTTAGCAACTCATTTGTCTATATACTCCCGAGCAAAATAGAGTTGCTGAAAAGAAAAATAGGAGTCTAATAGAGATGGTATGTTGTATGCTTAGAAGTATAGGTACCAAAATTTTATTAGCATTTTGCTATTTTGACTACTACTTTTCTGTGCAATCGTACGCCGAGTCGTGTTCTTCAGTATAGGACTCACTTACAGGTCTTATTCCTTGAACGGACACCTTTTCCAGTCCCCCCTTGTATTTTTGGCTACACATGTTTTGTTCAGGATCAGTCTTCTACTCGCCATAAGTTTGATGATAAAGCGACTTGTTGTATCTTTGTGGGCTATTGTCATCAATATAAAGGGTATCAGTGTTATGATCCTATCAGGCGTTATATGTATTACAATCTAGATGTTACTTTTCTTGAGTATATTCCTTATTTTTCTTCCAGTCCTGTCTCTACCCCTCCAGTTGATGACACTCTCTTTGATTTTTCGTTATCACAGGAGCCAGAGCCATTGATCACTATCACTATAGAGTCATCAGCCTCTCTTCCTCCAGAGCCACTTATCCCTGTCAGTACAGAGTCACCAGTCTCTCTTCCTTTGTAGGTTTATGTTCGTCACCCTCGTTTCATTCCCCTACTGATGTCCCCTCTACCTCAGGCGATGCAGGTAATACTTCTTAGTTCGTTGAGCATATTGATGCGCCTATTGTTAGTACTGATGAGATTACAGGTACTAAACCAGTTACTTTCCTTGATGAGACATTATCAGTGGAGGATGATGATTTAGGGCATCGTTATTCTCGGCGTGATCGCCGTCCAGTTGTTCATTATGGTTGAACCGCCAGGACTTTATATCCGATCTTTGCTTATGTTTCTTATGATGATCTGTCTCTTACATTTTGAGCTTATAGTATGACCTTATCAGATACGCCGGTTTCTCACTCTATTTCAGAGGCTATGCGGGAGCCTAGTGGGTTCTTGTCATGCAAACAAAGATGGACGCTCTTGAGCATAATCATACGTGGGATCTTGTCTCTTTACCTTCAAAGGTGAAGTGTGTTGGCTCTCATTGGGTTTACACCCTGAAGTTTCTTGCAGATGGTACTTTCAGGGGTAAAGCATGTTGGCTGTCGCTGGGTTTACACCCTGAAGTTTCTTGCGGAAGTTACTATTGATCATCACAAGGCTAGGCTTGTGGCGAAAGGTTTTACTCAGGTACCAAGTTATAATTTTGGTGCTACCTTTGTCCCCGTGGTAAAATTGACTACTGTTCGATTGATTATTTCTCTGGTTATGAAGTACTCTTGGTCTATTCATTAGTTAGATGTGAAGAATGTGTTTCTTCACAATGATTTAGACGAGATTATTTATATGGATGTGCCACTAGGCTTTCGTGGTGAGGGCAAGGTTCAAAGTATCGGTCGAGTCGGATACAACTCGGCCGAGTAGTATCCACCTCAGCAGGCATCGATCTGATAACGATACACGATACAAGACTATCACGAGTCTACCATGAATTGGTTCTGACTTGGTCCAACTCGGACAAACTCGGATCCAACTAGGACAAACTCGATCTAACTCGACCGATTCACTTTCAAATCGAACTAGTACGCACATAATCGTCCAAGCAACAAAGAAAATGCCAAAAAAAAGCAAAAAAAAAAAAGAGAAATTGAACCCTAAATTAGACCCCTTTTATCATAATAAAAACAAAGCAAGAAAGTTAAAACAAAATTGAACACAAATCCGAAAAATTATGGTAAATCTCCCTAATCAGAGACCTTTTCTTACTATTTGTTCTTACTTTCCTTCTTCTTCGCAGTAGCAGAGGACCCAACATCATGGATCAACATCGCAGATCGGACTTTCCTTCTTCTTCGCAGTTCATCGATCAACATCATAGACCCTAGGCTACTCGACGATTGGACTACTGGAGTAACAGAAGACCTAGCCTTCACGATGAGTCTCGATTAGCAGAGACCCATTGTCTCTGTGCTCTCTCTCTCTCTCATGTTTTCTGTTCGTCGAAGTTGAGAGTTGAAGAGAGAGGCTTTGGGTCAAAATACGTGAGGCTTTGGCCTTATGAGACCCAAAAATTTATTCCTCCCCTTTCTTTTTGTTTTTTTGGTTCTGGTCCAATTTTTTTAATTATATAATTTTTAGTATTTATCATATAATCTAATTAGAACTTAACTTCTTAAGTTTGTTTTTGTATATGCATTGATGATTTAATAATTAAATGTACATAATAGAGAAAATACATATAATCATCATACATAAAATACATATACATATAATCGATCTAATTAGATACATAATAAATAATTAAATGAATTTTTTTTTTATAAATAGATTTTCATTTTTAAAGCTATTAAGTTAACCATATATATACACTTATATTTGTTTATAATTTTTAAAAATTACAAATTAAATTATATTAACTTTGAATATAGATGATAATCAATATTTTTCGGTAGCATCCTTATTATTCTTTTTTGCAATGATTAATTTGTTAAATGATGTCTTTTAGAGATATGATGCATTGATGATGATGTTTACATTTATTATAATTTTTTCAATTTTTTTTGAGCCTTCTATATAGTATTTTGGGCGTATCGGTCGATATCACACCACAACACCGCCATCGATGTGTCTCAGTGGCCCCCAAGTTAAGGCCCGATACCGCGACCTTGAACCATGGGTGAGGGGGAATATGCTGGGAAGGTGTGTCGACTGCGTAAGTCTCTTTATAAACTGAAACAGTCACCACGAGCCTGGTTCTCTCGGTTTAGTAGTGTAGTTGTACATTTAGGGTTCACTAGATGTTATTCTAATCATACATGTTTTATTCGACGAAATACTTCTAGGCAGTGTGTCAACCTTTTGGTATATGTGAATGATATTATTATTACTGAGGATGATATTTTTGGAATTGCACAGGTCAAGGTAGACCTTGGAAAGGCCTTCGATGTGAAGGACCTTGGATTTCTATGATACTTTCTTGAGATTGAGATTGCCCGTAGCAGTAAGGGTATTGTTCTTTCTCAGAAGAAGTATGTTCTGGATCTTCTATCGGACACTATGTTGCCAAGGTGCAAACTGACATCATCACCTATGACTCCAAACCTAAAGCTTCCTGTTGAAGATGAGGAGTTGAGTGATCCGACTGTCTATCAGAGATTGATAGGTAGACTTATCTACCTAGCCAACACTAGGCTAGACATTTCATTCGCTGTCAACCAAGTTAGTCAGTTCATGCACAGGCTGTGTCAATCTCATCTTGATACAGTTTATCATATTTTGCGGTATCTCAAGTCTTGTCCTAGACTTGGGTTGTTCTATACATTACGATCTCAACCTTGTTCTGTAGCCTATTATTTAGATTCAGATTATGGAAGATCGATCTACTACGGGCTTCTGTACTTTTTGATGGCTCATATTATCTCTTGAAAGAGCAAGAAGCAGTCAGTTATCTCTCGCTCATCAGCACAGACAAAGTATCGGACACTAGTACTTGGTACATGTGAGATTATCTGGCTAAGATTAATTCTTGGCGAGTTGGGATTTCCAGTGACTTCTCCATCTACATTATATTGTAATAATCGATCTACTATTCAACTTGTTTCTGACTCTGTATTACACGAGATGACGAAGTATATAGAGATCGATTTTCACTTTTTTCGGGAGAAGGTTATTTGTGGTATTGTCACTCCATTGTTTATGGGGACCAATGATCAGGTTGTGGATATTTTCACCAAACCTGTCACTCTATCCATTCTTTGGGACTCCATTGTCAAATTTTGTTTAGTTGATATTTTTGCGCCTAGTTTGAGGGAGAGTGTTGGAGTATAGTCTAGTTTATTAGGGTTTCTTTTTATTTTTTTTACCTTTATTATGACTTTTATATTTTGCATAGACCAGAAGGATGTTTAGGTCACTTTGTACTATTATTTGGCTATATATACGGGGCTCTACTCTTAGTTTGAGTATCTCTTTTTGACTCACATATTTCTCTAGTATCAGCATAGTAAATGATTTCAGTTTTTTAAATCATCATGTTTTGATAAAAACCATGTTGGTGATTAAAGTGATAACCCAACATCAAAATGCACAGAAATAGAAAATTCAAGCATTTCATTCCAAAAAAGTGTATGCATTTCGCCTAAAGGTTTCAATATTAAGGCTCAAACTTTCTGGGAATGATCTGCTATTCTGGTGCAACTATCCATGAACAAATGTGGAAAATCTTGTATATAACTGATATGGCAATTGATGAAGCTGCAATAACTTTTGCGTTTGAAAGTGTTTCAGGAAATATAGGATGGGATTCTGTTTTTACAAGTTTGATCTCTGTTACTGAGAAAGTCTAATCAAATGATGCCCTGAGGCTCCAACCCTGACCAGCTTCTTTCTATGATTGCTCTAATTCATCAGAGACTTGTGCCCCTTTTCCTAATAATTCATTTTCAGAACAGGAAACAACTATCTGAGTATCATTATCCTGCTTGCAGAAGTACACAAAATATTAAGACAGAAAAAAAGGTGGATTAATAAATACTAAAGCTACAAAAGATTCAGGAGGTGTTGCAACATCTATTATACACCCCAACTTTATAAATACTAATGCAGTGTTGTGTGATTAACTCTTCTCATGCCTTATTCGCTACCAGTTCCGTAGTTTATTAGAGTGCGTATAGATGACAAATTTATTTGATGAAAATATCATTTTGTTTTGCATAGGACACATTACGAGATGCTATTGAGGATTCAATTACATGGCCAGTTCGTCAAATTATACCCATATTGCCGGGGGATTATAGGTATGCTATTATTTTCAAAAACCCATTTTCTCCCTGTAGTAAATCACCAGTTTTGTTTGGTTGTCTCCTCCTTCTAAATCAATCCATGTCCGCAGTTGAGTCTCAGTATATTGTTCAAGCATGTGATGACCGTACAATTAAGTGTTACAAAAGTATGCTCAAAGAATTAGAAATAGAAGCTTGTTAGAAAAGATCCACCATTTACTATCTCCATGTTTTATTGCCTATTTGATCTCACAAGGACAATACGTGCATTAGCTATGATTCTTGCTCATTCAACTAATAAGCGTATGTGATTGATATTTATTTGTGACATAAGTAGTCATCTTCTGTAGTAGTTGTTCTATTACAGGGACCTAGAGTTAAAGCCTGTTGGAATATTAGAGGTGAAGCTCATCCAAGCCAAGGAGTTACTAGACAAAGACCTCATTGGGAAATCAGATCCTTATGCTGTGGTATTTATACGTCCACTACGTGACCGAATGAAAACCAGCAAAACAATTGTAAGGCAGTTCATTTAGCTTCGGTCAATTTTATTTTTCACTCTTCTTTTGGACCAGCATAACACTACAAATTCTCGTGTAGAACAACCAATTGAATCCAATCTGGAATGAGCACTTTGAGTTCATAGTTGAGGACGCTTCTACTCAGCACTTGACATTAAAGATTTATGACGATGAAGGTATTGGAGCCTCTGAACTCATTGGCTCTGCTCAAGTGCCACTGCAGGGTCTGGAGCCTGGTAAGGTGAAGGATGTATGGCTGAAACTGGTCAAAGACTTGCAGGTTCATTGGGATAATAAAAACAGGGGTCTGGTGAGAATGTTGCCTTGATCTTCTTTTACATTGCAGTGTTTTGTAGGGTTCATTATTATCTACAGCATTTATATTGTCTTCTAAAATATATGCTCAAATTGTCTCTAAAACCAATTTTGAAAGAACCCTGCAAACTAATGCCTCGAGCGAGTATAGTCACATTGAAAGAAACAAGGATGCATGAAAGTTTTTGAACTTATCAAGTGGCTGGAATGTCTATGGTTTCCATGTCAGGGAGACTTCCATGAAAGGATAATAAGATAACTAGCAGCATCTCTTAAAAATGTTTGGCTGCCAATGGTGGATGGGTCGTTTACCCCAAGAAGAATAAGCCCTTTCTGAAGAAGATAAAACAAGAGAATAGCTATAAACTTTGAGCAAAAACTTTAAGAAGGCATCAAAGCCCTGTAAAATGAGAGTCAAATCTTTGTACTCATAGCCGCACAGCCTCATACTCGTCTTTAAGGCTAACATGATATTATTCAGCGTCAGACTCTATTACTACATGAAGTTTTTTCTACATCCTTTATACTTCTATAAGATTACAATTTTACTAGTTTTGTTAAAGATATCCTTATATTCTAAATTCCTTGGATAAATGATAATGATTGCCTTAATACTATCGATGGTTCACTGGCTCTTTGCCTTGTCTATTGCTTCTGACTTAGTAGTGCAGATGAAAAGTTCGTACTAAAAGCTTTTCAAAAGTTCGTAGCCCTTTCAAAATATGAGTAGGGATTTGTTAGAGAATACCATTGAAACCAGAATCAGTCAGACAATTATAAGACAAAAAAGTCCAAAAAATGGTCAGAATTCCTGTGTGAGCATCCTATGGATGAACAATTTACATAATAAGAAGTGGGACAGTTGAGGGATTATTCTCATTCAGTCGGTCTACATTTTTGTACATCCCAAAGATTTTTATTTGTCTCAGATATTCATATGCCATTAGCATCTCCTGAATTGCTGACTGCGGAAATGTTGAAAGACCTGTATCACTTGGTGTGTTGACATTCCTGTCCACTACCTTTATACCTTAATTATATGAGGGTGATCTCCTATAAGTTCTAGGCTAGTAAGAGTAAAAGATAACCAGTAGAACACAAAATTTGTACAAATATGCGTTTTACTGTTGTTGGTTGTCATTTGGATCTTCAATTTAGTTTTCAAATAAGACCTTTTCTTCTTATTCTTCTCAATTCTTTTGGTCCTTCGGCTGGTTTGTATGCACGTATGTCAGGGTGTACGTGCATATAGTTATCATCTTACCTGTTAACCAAAATTTGAATCATATATCTGCCATATTCATATACAAGTGCAGTGCAGTTGTATAGCTTGATTTATTCTAAAACTTGTTGCCACAACCTGTCACAATTTCTCTCTCATCATAGGTGCATGTGGAGCTTTTATATTGTCCTTATGGAACAGAGAGTACATTTAGAAATCCTTTTGACCCAGACTTCAGATTGACATCATTGGAGAAGGCCCTTAAATCTGGAACAGAAGCTGCTGATCTTAAAAAATCTGGCTCACAAAGGAAAAGGGATGTCATTGTAAGAGGAGTTCTTTCTGTGACAGTGATATCTGCAGAGGATTTGCCGGCTGCAGATCTGATGGGAAAGTCTGATCCATATGTTGTACTTATGATGAAGAAATCCGAACAGAAAAACAAGACTAGGGTAAGATTCTGATTGCCTGGTTCACATTACATCTCGTTTGGCTCATAATTTTAAACTACAGCAACGGTAATCTTAACTACATAACTAATTCCACTGGGGGGGGGGGGGTGGAGGCAAATGTGAGGACCTTTGAGTGATTGTATTCACCAAGTGTAGTTAGCAGCTCACAGAGAGAGGGAAAAATTATTATACTGATAGTCAAATAAAGCCCTTCTGGCCACAGTACCCCATTTTATTGTCAAACCGCACAAGGGAAAGTGTTGGGAAAGACCAATAATTACTGTTATAATCATTTCCCTTTTTGATTGTCAAAACGGATCAATTCCGAACAGACAAAAAAACATGTTCATTGATAAAGCAACTGAGCCTTCTTAAGCATTTCCCTTACTATGTGATTCTGAATTTCTCTTTGTATTGTCAGGTTTTAAATAACACTTTGAATCCGGTTTGGAATCAAACATTTGACTTTGTTGTCGAGGATGGGTTACATGATTTGCTAATTTTAGAAGTCTGGGATCATGATACATTTGGAAAGGTAAACTTCTGCTACTACTATCAGCTCCTTACTCCATTGGTTGTTAAGCTTGTGCAAGGCGCTGACCTAACACGCCTGATAGTAACTGATGTTTTTAGATCAGATTATTAACGGGATGTCGTTTGATTCAACATTTTTATGATGGCTTCAATTTTCTTTGGCAAGCTCTTTTTTGGTGATCAGTTTCTACAATCAAATACTACATAAATCATTACATCAATTCCCGAACACTAACACATACAATCTACAGATCTATGTAGTTATTAGGCACTGTGATCTTGGTTTCAAACTGTAATAACCGTGGCTTCCTGATTCTATTTTATCGGTTATACTAATTTCAGCTACATGTCTCAGGAAAAGTTAGGAAGATGCATTATGACACTCACCAGGGTATTACTAGAGGGGGAATATACAGACACATTCTCCCTAGATGTGGCTAAAAAGGGAAAGCTAAATTTGCATCTCAAATGGACACCACAACTAGTACTCCGGGAACCCTGATTACTTAGAGCCAATGCAGCACATTTCCAACGTACCAGATTTCATGTTGTAAGCATTCTTGCAAGTTATCTGGGCATAAAGCTTGCAAAATTTCCAGAACGCGTGCATGGGATGAACGTCGACAGTTATAGAACTAGACAACCAAGAAATTTCTGGACAGTTGCACATGTTGTTGTTGTATTTTGCAACAGTAAGAGGCAAATGAAGAGGAACACATATTGAGATCCCACGTTTTCAAGTTGTTTATTACCCGTTTCCACATACAATAAGAATTTCTTCTTGTTCTTGTTCTTGTTCTTGTTCTTGTATAGTTGAGTATTACGGGAAAATTGATATTCTTTTGTATGATTATATTTTGATGAGAAATCCAAAAACATTTGGGCATTTGTGATTTCCGAATTTGTATTTGGTTTTATTTTTCCTCTTACCAGCCCTTTGAATTCTGGACCAGAACCAACATTAATAAGCAGATTGCATTGCAAGAGTTACCCTAGTGTTATATAGGGCACTTACTATCTCAATTAGAGACAGAATCAAGATTTTATATTAAGGGGCCCGAATAGTGATGGAATCAACAATCTTATTTTTTTTTATCAATGGGACCCACTAACAACTCATACTGGGCAATTGTTAAACAGGTGAGGGATCACGCTATTTAATAAATTGTCATTAATGTATAATTTTTTGTTATATAGAACAGATCAAAATCAATTTTTTCACGATAAATTAATTTTTTTTGGATTTTTGCGAAAACAGTATGGTGTTTGATAAAATATGTTTAAAATTAAAGTTGTTGTGAAAGTAAGAAAATTGTATAGATTACAAATAGAATATAGAGAATATATATGCTAGAGAAAGAACTACTCAACTTATGTGTATTTCTCAATGTGATGGGGACCTCCTTTTATAGGTCTCAAATCATAATGGTCATTAAATACAACATGAACTCTTGGTAGAGTTCATCCATATCTATATACAATAGATTTACAACACTCACCCTTGGATGACTACTATGCTAAGACAATATGCCTCGTTAAAACCTTGCTAGAAAAACCCTGTGGGAAAAAACTCAGCGAAGGAAAAAGAGTACATATTCAAATTAATCTTAGAATAGCATTGGACACACTAATGTTGTCTTATTAAAACCTTGTTAGGAAAACCTAAACGAACAAAACCTAGACGAAGAAAAAAGAATACAAAGTGCATATGTACTATATCTTGATGTAGATACTTCCCCTGATGAAAATCTTCCTCTAATAAAAAATTAATTTCTTGAACATTGAAGATGATAAAGCTTTAGTGAATAGATCTACAAGATTGTCACTAGATTGTTCTACTTTACTTCAATTTCAAGACTTTGCTGAAGTTCATGAGTGTAGAAGAACTTTGGCGAATGAATGGTTCTATCACATTTGGTAAACCCTCCTTTAATTTGTGCAATGTAAGTATCAATATCTTCATATAAGGTTGTTGGTGAATTTATAATCAAAGGAAACCTACAAGTATCTCAGATGTGATGGACTACGGACCTTAGCCACACACATTAATGGCTCGCTTCATGGAGTGCAAGTATCTCAGAATAATTGGAAGATGTAGCAATCAAAGTCTAATTCGTAGATTGCCATGAGATCGATGTGTCACCATAAGTGAAAACATACCCAATTTATGAACGAGCCTTGTGGGGATTTGATAGGTATCTAGAATCTACATATCCGACTAACTGTGGATCATTGGCTGATTCATTTGAGTATAACAAACCCAAATCAGTAGTTCCACGAAAATAGTGTATGACATGTTTTATGTCATTCCAATGTCGTTGAGTTGATGCAAAACTAAATCTTACCAACAAGTTGATTGTAAATGCTATATCAGACCTAGTACATTGTGCTAAGTATAACAAAACACCAATTGCATTTAGGTATGGTACTTCAGGACCAAGAAGCATTTCATTTTCCTTCGTAGGATGAAAAATTCCTTATTGACACCAAGAGATTGAACGATCATTGGAGTACTTAATGGATATGCTTTATCTATGTTAAATCACTTCAGGACCTTTTCAGTATAGTTTGTTTGATGAATAAGAATTTCATTTAACATATGCTCGATCGATAGACAGAAACAGTACTTTGTTTTTCCAAAATATTTCATATCAAATTCTGTTTTCAAATATTCAACAAATTTTATCAACTCTTCAAAAGTTCTAATCAGATTCATATCATCAACATATACTGTAATGATGACAAATTCATATTCTGATTTTTCAATAAATACATTCGGCCATATGGGACTATTAAGATACCATTCCTTTATCAAATACTCACTGATACGGTTATACCACATTCTTTCAAATTATTTTAATTCATATAAGGATCGTCTCAGCTTAATTGAGTACATGTTGCGTAGTTTTGATATGTTTACTTCAAGCAATTGCAATCTTTCAAGGACTTTCATATAAATATTACTATTTAACTTTCCATATAAATATGCAATGACAACGTCCATAAGACGCATGTCGAGTCCTTCTGAGACTATTAGACTAATAAGATACCGAAATGTAATTGCATCAATTACTAGTGAATATATTTCTTCATAATCAATCCCAAGTTTTTGCAGGAACTCTTGTGCTACTAGGCTCGTTTTGTATATTGTGATCTCATTTTTGTCATTTATTTTTCTCACAAAAACCCATAACCAATAGATTTTATATCATTAGGTGTTAGGACTACAGGTCAAACACTCCACGCTTTGCAACAGAATCCAATTCTGCTTGGATTACTTCTTGCCATTTTGGCCAATCATGTCGATGTCAACATTTATCTATTGTGCGTGGTTCAAGATCATCATCATTAAAGATTTCAATAGTTACTATATCATTGATGACCATTTTTGTGCGATCTCACACTTCATCTATATATGCATACTTAATAGAAATTTATTCATTTGCAAATATCTATATCTCTTCAGGAGTTTGTGTCTTTTCAGGGACTTTCCTCTTCAGAGGTTATTATTTGAGATGATGTTGGTGCATTTTTATTTTCTACTTCAACAACTTTTTCTTGATTTGTGTGTAGTTACCCTTCAGGAGCTGACCATGCTTCAAATGTGTAAGAAAGTTCACGCTATTCTTCAAGCGACAGATTTCCTCCCCTTAACGGCGGAAAGAGTGTCTAATTTTCCTTTTATAGGTATATAACTTCTTGAGACCTCATTATTTTTAGGTACATTTTTCTTTTGCAGGAGATGCCTCTTCAGGAAATGTTAGTTTACTAATTTTGAACTAATCAATATTTTTGTTGCGTACTTTGTAGGGTTGCCAACTTTTTTGTGCAACTTCCATTACATCTTTTTCTTTGATCTTTTCGGCAATATCAATTTCCTTTATGGATGCTTGGTAAAGATCTACCAAATGTTTGGACATAAGACAAATACGTGACCAATGTCCTTTCATACCACCCCTCAAGCAAACTTTCTTATAGTTCTTGGGTGGTTTATTCAGCAAACTCTTCCCTTTATATTGCTATGCATATTTGTTTGCCCACTTCTAGTGGTGAGGTGTATTGTTATGACCACAATATCGATTATCGTTTCGACCACGCCCACATTTATTACCACGACCATGGTATGAGGTGACATTCGCTTCCAGAAATATTGTAGAACCGGTTGGGGCAAGATTCATGATTTTTCATCAAAAACTTGTTATTTTGTTCAGTCACAAGAAGACATGATATCTGGTTAGAGTATTTAGTGAACCTGCACTTTCTGTATTGCTGTTGTAGGAGCACATTAGACGCGTGAAAAGTAGAGAATATTTTCTCTAACATCTCTTTATCAGTAATTGTTTCTCCACATAGTGTCAATTGTGAGCTGATTTTGAATAGTGTCGAATTATAATCGCTCACCTTTGTAAAAATCTTGCAACTTAGGTGCATACATTCATGTCAAGCATTTGGAAGTATAACGATCTTTTGGTGGTCGTACCGTTCCTTTAATTTATCCCAAAGGACAAGTGGATCATTTGGAAGGGTGATGACAAAAGAATATCGTTATCTTTGGGCACTCCTGAAGGGATGCGTCATTTTCTTCTTTCATAGTATCACCAAGATTAATAACTATCAAGTGGATCTCAACTTCAAAAATCCAAAAAAGATAGTTGTTGTCCAAAATATTAAGAGCGACAATCTCAAGTTATGCACATTATTTAAATCACGGAACTGAAAAAAATAATAAATAAACACAGGGATATTGATACTTAAAACAAGAATGCAGAAATCTCATGCATAATTCTGGTATAATTCATGAAAGTTAAAAGAATTATATAATAATCTATCACTCCCTTTTTTGGAGGTAGTAATATGAAGACCAAATACTCTTCGAGATGGTCAAAACTTGTAATCAAACTTCTTTTATTTGTGCATGGACAATTATAGAATAAAAAAAATTGATTCTCTTAAAAGAAATTTACCTGAAATTCTTAAGTCTAAAGAGAACAAAAATCTAACATTTTTCTCAAATTCACTTGAACAATACCTGACCATCAAATTCACTTTAACAATACTTGAGTTATTCTTGCTGATAACATGTTGTAAAAGTAAGAAAATTGTATAGATTACAAAGAGAATATATATGCTAGAGAAAGAACTATTAAGCTTGTGTGTATTTCTCAATGTGGTGAGGACCTCCTTTTATAAGCCTCATAATGGTCATCAAATATAATATTAACTCTGGGTAAAGTTATAAAGTCAAATACTAACACTTATTAAATTAGTATGATAGAGTTCATCCATATCTATATGCAATATATTTACAACAAAAGTATTATTTACTACTAATAAAAGTACCTTAAGTGAAAAACTTTTGATTCACTATTTTACCCTTATAAAAAATTTTAAATACCACTTTATCTTTTTATAGTTAAATATCTAAATTACAATCACAACTTTATGTATTTAAATCTTAAAATTACCCTCTAACATCTCATTTTATTCTCTATTATCTTTGGATAAATCAATATCTATGAAAAATTTTAATTGACTACGCAACCCTTAAAAAAAT